TATAGCAATAGTTACAGTCGCAAAGAGTGTGAAACATTGTTGATGTTGCCTTGTTCCATACATTTATTGCAAGAACAACAATATAGAGATGGTAAAAGGTTCTGTTGACATGATAGCAACATTAATCGTCATAAATGAGTAGTAGTGTTGCTTTTATAAAGACGAAGTAGAAGAAGAAGAAGAAAAAAGAAATTCTGATTTTTCAAAAAAAAAGTTCTATCGTCATCTTTCAACAACAAACTTAAAGGTCAAATGCCAATAAATATATAGATATGTATATATAGACAAAAAGTATGATCTTCTCCTTTACACAAATAATAAAAGACAACTGTGTGATGGATATGTATCGAGGTATGTGGGTGTATAGAGTCATCATCTATCTCCTCAACATTTCAACTATGCCATCACGATCAATCATATAGTATTTGTATGTTATTGCAGCATACCATTAGTAGACAACGACAAGAAAGACAACATAGGTTTGTCTTCGTCATGAACTGACTTCTTTTTTTTCAAGTAATACTAATATATAACGGTGTGTGCATTGTTGACAAGTAAGGATAAGATGGACGCGCACATATATATATACATACATACATTATATGTATCTATAATGATAGATATGGACTATCGTTTATCTCATGTAAATGTATAAGGTATCGATTGTAGATGAATATCAAGAAATACATATAGAAAAAATAATGGTACTAGTCAGTCAATACAATAAAAGAGTAGAAACAAAACAAGTTGTCCTTTGTTTGTTAATTATTTTTTTTGCCTGTTGTCTATCAGTAAGCTTACAGAAGATTAATCGGAGTAGAAGAAAAAATAACAACAAGTAGATGTCATTACTATTAAACCAAAGACAAGCGTTGGCAATCGAGCGTGGCTATAGAAGCGCAAATGCGTGACACCTTAGAGAAATCTAATCACTAACAATAAATGAACTATGAATTATTTTGCTCTCGTTTCCAATATTTTACATTTTAAATTACTTTAAAAATACAATGATGATAGTAGGACACGCACGAACTGACATATATATCGATAGGGCAATTTTATATCCCAACGGACGCGTGATCTTATTACAACAAAAGGCCTTGTATAATGTAGTAAATCTATCACTAGATATATATATATATTTATATATATATATATGTTTGCGTTAATTTTGATAGTCCTCACACGTCGCATTCATTAACCATACACACACGCCCATAAATTCGCTCGTACTGTTACGAAAGCGAGAAGTGTGCATGTATATATGTCTCGCCCTCTTACACTTGGTTTTCTTTCTCATTCCCTCTCTCGCTCTACTTCTCATTGTTTATCGGTGTAGTACGTGCCTGAAAAATGAAAGTGATTGCATCAATACATGCCGCCCATTCATCCATCGTCATCGTCAGCGACACCAGTCACAGATCATAATATTTGTTTGAATACATACATATATACTTGCATATAAGAAAGATCGATCGTTATCGAGTCCGATTTCGCTAAAGCTACGTTTACCATATAAAACCACTTCTATCAGAATAAGCAATAATACCACAGTGCTGTTATTGTTACGAATATCTTGTATATTACTCTGTCTCTCTCTCTCTTTTCTTTCTAAGTATTTGTTGTAATACAATCTGCACAGCGCCTGTTTGCTTGTCCTTCTCTCACTCTAAGCTTATTGATACGCATTAAGGCGCGCGCAAGCAAACAAGCCTTCATATATTCTCATAAATAAAAAACGACTGACTAACTGCTAATGCCATTGTAGTCCGTCGTCCGAAGACAATTGTAAAATAGACAAGAAACAGTCTTGTATATGTCCATTAAACAATTTAATACATATATAATATTATAAAGAAATTGCTGGTCGACCTTATTTTCGGCAATATTACTTTCACTAGATATTCCCATTACCATCATCATTTATGACGATATAATGTTGATGATAATAATGACAAAGAACAAGAAACAAGAAGAAAAGAAAGGCGAAGATGAAGAAAAAAGAAAGAAAGAAAGACCTGTTATCATCTATACATAGAATATATAAAAGCAACAAATGACATGAAAACTGTCATTAGTATAGACAACAGAATTGTAAAGACAACTAATATATATGACGAACACCTTTTTTTTATATATATCGAAGAATAAAAAGAAAAAGAAAAAAAAAGAAAAGAACACGAGATAATCTCTCAACTAGATTGACAACAAAACAATGGTAGAATATTTAAAATAAGAAATGAAAAACAAAAATTATTATATGCGTTAAATTAGCAACTCGAGCTAAATAATAATAAAATATTAATACTCCTGAACAATTATTGTATCTATTAAAAAAATCTAGGCGAATAAAAATATTATGTATATTTTACCTGTATTTTGTCTAATTGTTTTTTTCTTGTGTACGTGTAAGACATGTTTTCTTTATCATTGTCAAAGTCTTATCTTAATGCGAATAAGAACAATAGTTATTCTTCTCTCTTTCCGCTATATTTCTAACCATCATCACTGTATGCAATAGGCAAAAGAGCAACAGTGTCAGTAGGAGTGTGTATATATGTGTTAAAGAGAAAGGGTGCGAGAGAGATGAATAATGGTATAAAAACAATAGCGCCTAATTACCTATTATCATCGGCCCAACAACGATGACGATAGCGGCTGCTGTTTTTGTTGTTGTCAACTGGATGTACAAGAGCGATAGCAGGCGAGCAAAAGTGAAAACGGAATGTAATGGCAGTGCAACTATGATCATCGAGGTTATTTTTTTCGTAGCTCTTTATACTAAAGAGAGAGAGAGAAAAGAAGAGCACTGATAATGATTGTTGTCATTCGAGCAAGCGAGAGAGAGAGAGAGAGAGAGGGCAAGACAGAAGACAAGTAAAGAAGGAAATAGACAATCTGAGAGAAAAGAGCCAGAGAGAGAACAACAAAATATCGATTGACGATCGATGTGCATCGTTGTCTTACCTCAAATACGGACAAGACTCTAAATGATTTGACTTATGAGTTATCCCATATGTAAATGCATACTTAACAATTAACTTGAGTAAGTAAAGTCAATCGGTTCGACTGTTACTACTACTCATGTCCATCTTGTACCACATTTTAAACGACAAGCTTTGTTCTATATATAAATTCACAGTGGTGCTTGATTACATCTTCTATTCTAATAAAAGGGTACTATCATCACCGGTATCACCACAGCTGTTACTTTCGCTCTTTCTCTCTTTCTTTCTCATCTTTAAATTGACAGTTGACACATCATCGAGACACAATGAAAGTCTATATTAAAGCAAAATACAAAGAAATAAAAGTTCTGTCAAATCCTTAACTATGTGTGTTCCATACAATACAACATTGATATGGAGGATGTTTACTTAGTGTGGCAACCGATAAACACTCTCTGTTATGTACAATCATTCTTTGTCGGATAAGAGTTAAGCTCTCGACTGCAAAGATAGAGCAGAACAAGAGAGGGAGAGAGAGAGAGAGAGCAAGTGTTGCTCTCATCATCCATCCTATCGATTACAGATCTTCTTGAAGGCATATTTCGGCTTGTCTTATCCTTCATGCCATCGTGAATTCTCCTTTTTCTCTGTCTCTCGCTCTCTTCTTGTTATCTCATTGTACAGCAGAAAAAGAGAGTGTAGTGCTAATAACCTTGAGGCTAAATGCACACTACCATCATTGCCATGCATGAAGTTGTATGCTAGTTGAAATATTCCTAGCGGCACTTGTTCTTGTGCAATTCGATCTCTCGAAAATCAGCCATGGTTGTTGTCGCCATATTTTAGTTAGTATAAATATATATAAAACTTGATGATCAAATCATAAGTGTATATTTATTTCTATAGGCACATAAAAAAAACGAGAATAAAAAGAAAAGAAAGATACCTGCCGTTGTCATCCGGTCTCGTTTTTCTATGGACAAGCATGTACATCAATTTAGAAAGATTATATTTCATGCTGGTTCGCCTCCATTATTTTTCCCATAATTGTTGTCGTGTCGTATATTTCGATGAGAAATCAACAGGACAAATGATCTATATCCTTGTGAGAAGGAAGAAATATTATAAATGTTATTTTAAAGTAAGATAGATGAATGAGATGAAGACTGGCGCACATATGTGCATCTGTGATGATCATACAAGTAGGATAACTTGACAGCACGGCACCAGATTTCCTTTGAACATTGGCGCTTATACACACATTTATATATATATGTATATATACATACAGATAATATTATCCTTTCTTTTTTTTCTATCAGTTGTATACTAATTTGTGTCACTCAAATTCGCGCGTGCACAATGACAATCTATTCAACCTTTGGCCACACATATATATAACCATCATCCAATATATATATATCTGTACGTACTCATTAGCTGTCTGTCAATGAATGACATAATGGTAAAGGGAAAGAGAGAGAGAGAGAGTAAGAAACGTATATAGGAAAAAAAGTGTTGTTCTTATCACGACACACTTTATGCATGAGGGTCGACGAATGGAACAAAGGCGATCGCGTTTCTCCTTTCAATTAGATTTGTATGTCTGTATGCGACCTAATCTGTATGCCTCTAGTGGATGAGAAGAGAAGAAAGATAAAACAATAACAACAACACTGAGCATAAGCATATATTCGATCAAGGGAGAGAATATACTCTATATCTTTGATTGCCTGCAACAAATCAGCTTAAGATGACTCCTATTGAGTTACGACGACATTCCCTATTCAATCGACTGTATAACATTTTGTTTTTTTTTGATCGATTATTCTCTGAAATATCTCTAGATATGTTATTCTTTTGATAATATCTAGAGAATATTATAAATTAATTTTATTATCATATTCATTATATTTATCAACAAACCAAAGAGCGAGAGAGAAAGAGAGAGATTGAAGAACTGAGTATTTTCTTATTCATAGGATAATAAAATAAAATAGAATAATTTATACAAAAATAAGATGAAATATTAACTTATAATAATTTCTTTTTTTATTGTGTAATCATTGTTAATGAATCTCTTCGTTGTGAACGAAAAGATTTTCCTGGTAAAAGTCCATTAGTTGATTTTTGTTTTGGACGAGATTCATCTTCAAATAAAGGTACAACAACAACAGGACTTAAATTAGATTGTTCATATTTCATTTTCACATCTCGTGTTACATTACGTACTGAACGTGGACGTAAATCAACTGTTGATCGTTGAGTTTTTTGACCCATAGAAAATGTTGTTCTTGATGATCGAATACGATTATTTGCATTCGTATTCGTATTTAAAGTTGTTACACTCGTATAAGTATTCGTTAGATCAGTTGAATTTCGAGAAGAATTCATTGGATATGTTGTATAACCAGATTTACAACGATTATTTAATCCATTTGATATTGATGATTGTCTTGATGAAAATGTTTGATTTGGTATCGATGAAACAATACGTTTATAGAAATGATAATTTTGACCGGGTGCACAATTACCAAGACATGTTACACGTTTACATTCATTACAACGTAAATCACGTTTTAGTTCATTTATATCTCGCATATCATTATTATTATTGTTATTATTGTTATTTTTAGATGAATAATTTCCAACTATATTTGTTGTACTAGTCTCTAGAGTTGAATTTTTTAATAAACGATTATATGTCATTAGATTTTGACGACGTCGTTGTTCCCATTTGATTGTATTTGCTTGTAATCTAAATTCAAAAAAAGTAAATTTCAGCATATAAAATGATGACTCTAATTGAAACGAAAAGATAGTTGATATTCATAAAAGAGTTAACTAAATGAATATTATCGTACCTTGCTAATTTAATACATTTTTCAAAAACAGCTTTAATATTAGGATCACGTTCAGATTTAATTTTATTATCACGATAAAGATCTCTTAAATTCGAATCATTATTTCCATTATTTGTTTGAAATTGTGATTGGTTAGAAAGAATTTGATCGTATTCTTCAGTAAATGGACTTTTATAATCATAAACAGATAATGACGTATCAGTTGCTAACTCAAATAAATATTCATCCATATCATTTTCACGTTGAAGAATATCTTCATCACCTTCTTCTTCTTCTTCTTCTCGCTGCTCAGTAGTACGTTGATCAGTTTCTTCTACATCTTCACGTGGACTTTCTAAGCCGAGTAAATCATCTACCATTTCGATATTTTCACTATTAAAATCAGGTTGACATAAATCAAGATTAGTGACAAGTTCAAGATTATTAGTCTAAAAAATGAATAATGAAATATTTTCGTTTCAAAAGAAAATCTTACTTTATTTTCATGTTGATCATTTTCAATTAATTCTTCTCGCGTATTGGTAGTCTCCTTAGTTGGAATATGATTAGATGTCTCACGACTACTAGGTTGATCGATGACATTATCTTTTTTATCAAAACATAATTGATGAACAAAATTACTATCACTTTTGTATATAGGTGATTTAAATCCATCGGCAAATGAATGAATGATTGAATTATTAGAACTTCCTGATGGTTCAATTAAACGTGGAACACGAAATGGTACTGACGGTGGTGGTGGTGGAGGCGGAGGTGGAGGTGGTGCTGGTGGCGGAGGTCGAGCGGCAATAACTGTCCTCACTTTGCCTGTATGTAGTCGACGAGACAACTTATCAATTGTTACTGGAGCAGTTGTAGGTCTACTAGTAGTCTCAGAGAAATTTGTCGAAGACATTCTACTACGATCACTTGTTGATGTAGGTGGTCGACTTTTAAAAAGTGAATATATTGGTTTTTTTTAAATATATAATAAACTAGGGTTTCTTTTTACCCTATTGTTCCTGATTTTCCAGTTGCTGGTCGAGAAAGATTATTCGATGAAGGATGTTGCCAACGAGATGAAGATCCATCTTTAGTTTCGTACGCTACTTGTTGTCTGTCATCTCGTGTAATTCCTTTTGCTAACTACAAAAAAATATGTCGAATGAATAAAAACTAGTATTTTTTATCTGTTTTGCAACTTAAATGTCGAAAAATATATAAACAAACACTTCTAAAGCTTTTTTTTTTATTTCTAATTTCATTTTTAAAATCAAAAAACAAAATTTGTTTGTTTTTAAGAATACATCAAATTTTACCTTCTAATCTTTTTTTTTTCTTTTTTCTTTCTCGTCAAAAATATTCTATATCTAATGATTTTAACTTACAGCTGTCATATAATCTTTGTTCTCTCGTGTTATCCGAGAATTTTGTGGTTTCCAACTAGATGTTTTCTAAAGACAAAAAAAAATGATTAGATAGGATATGAAATACTAGTTTTTAAAATGTACAATTATACACAAACCTTATAGAATATTCCTACATCTCCAGGATAATATGACCAAAATGAATCTGCCTGAGGTCGTACACGTTGTCCCTCAACTCCAAGTGTATCAGTAGGTAATGCATCGATAGCATAGAGGAGACCCGCTTGTTGCATGCTTAAAGAAATCTGTGAACGGCGAGTCTGACCGTCGACCATCTTTTTTTGTCTGCTTACACTGAGTCTGTGTATGACAGCAAACACATTTCTATTACGAACAAAGCTCGTTCTGTTAAATAAACAGAATAGATTCTCCTTTTAGCAAGAAAAAGTCGAGATGAAAAACGTTTTGTTTTCTTTTGATTGGACTTGCCTTTTCTCCCTCCCCATCTCTCTCTCTCTCTCTTTCTTTCACTCATTACACGTGTAAAGCCTTTTTTGTTAAATTGCACATCTGACCGCGTTGTTTGAATAAGTAAAAGTGAGTTAATAGAATAAAATTTTCGTCTTTTAACAAACATACAGTCACATGAAATGTAGAGAAGAAGAAAGAATAACAATAATGGTAACCATTTGCTACACAACGAATTTTTTTTCTCTTCACTTACAGTATTCAAAACGGACAAGTCACTGTTATTATTGTTGTTAAGAGACAATAATGATTGTATTCGAGTTAATAATACTAATGTAGATGTGCCTTCTTGATTAACATTTGGTGTTGATGTATGAATTGATGATTGAGATAATTTTTCTGTATATTGATTACTACAAAGTAAAAAATTTTGATCAGCTGACGAACGAAGACGTTCATATTCTTTTATATTATTCCGACGATTCTGTTGTAAATCTTGTACGTATAACATTATTTGTTATTATATTTAGAAAATATATCCCCCCAGCTTTATATATTTAAAATGTATTGAGTATTAGAAATAAATTGATCATGCAATTCTCTCTCTCTCTCTCTCTCGTTTTCTTTGTTATTTGCGTCATTCTTATATATCCACAAATATATGACTGACGTCTTCAGATGAAAGAAAAATTCTCCAATTTCTTCTTTTTTTTTATTTCTATATCGTGTTTGCTTTTAAATTCATATAATAAGATCTCGTTAGTTTAGTCGTCTATATCGTATCAATAATGTACGATACTGCCAAAAAGAAACCAATAACAATAATAAAAATAGAATAAAATGATTTCAAAGTACAAAATTGAAAGAGAAAAAAAAATAAAGTAGATTATTTAAAAAATAGACATATTTTTTTAATGTGTAACTATTAGGAGTAAAGTATAAAATTTTTTTTCAAGTATCACAAGTTTTTCTTTGCTCTCATACTAATAAAAATTGTAAAAAAGAAAACAAAATGACTATCAAAACAAATGAGAAGAAAATGCAAGAAAAACTTTTATTATCAATAAAATTTGTCACTAGACCGTAAAAAATGAAATGGACGACGAGGAATCTATTATATAAATCAAGGACATTGTTGTTTATATATTTCATTGTAACTTTTAAGATCAAACGACAATATATATGTCAATTCTTATTTATATACAAAGTATTTATGTATTAATAAACAGATTTAATTAAATATAGTATTATTATGGAAATAAACTCTTTGATGCTCTACCATTCGGTACTTAATTCTTATGGACCGAATCAGCAATGTACGACTTCATTTGCTGAAAGGCACGTATCTAAGTGAACCATTGAAAAACATTAGAGAAGAGGAAATATCTTAATTACATTCAAAAAACATATAAAAACGATGGAAATGTAAAATAAAACGAGGCTATCTCTATTGAAAATAGAGGTAGAAAAATAATAAATCACATTATAATACTGTTCTATATAAATTCGAATGTTATCTTCTTAACTTACCTCATAAGAAAAATGCATCAAGTTCTTAATAAATGTTTGTTCATTATTATACTAATTTTCAATGATAGCAACGTAATAATTTTGATATTTTCTTAACTTTTATGTTATAACTAGCAACTCTCTTCTTATAAGAATGTTTTTAATAAACTTCAGTTTCTAATCAATCTTCCAAGTATTACTAAATACAATATTCATATAAACACTCTTCTTTTTCTTACTGTCATTTCAATCTTAAGTGGTAAAATGCACTGTTAAATAAAAAATGATTTAATGTAGAAAATTGCCTTTTCTTTTTTTTTAAAAAAAAAACTCATTTCTTCTCATATAATAAAATTATTTTCTCTTCATCTTATCATTTGAAACTGCATATACAACTTGAATGTCATGCAAAATTGCTTTTATGAGAGAAATATTAGTTAGAAAGATCTATTAGTCCTTAAGGGGAAACTAATATTTGAAAACAATTTAATGAATAACAGACGATCGTAAATATTATGACAAGAAACGTCGTAAATTATTTTACTTGACATTCTAAATTGTTTCTGACATCGGAGAAAATATTATTGCCCAATTATCACTTTTTGAAATTTGTTTAATTACATATTTATGGTAAAAAGGTAATTAATATTTATCTTAACGACGAAATAAAAGTTTTTTGATATAATTCAGATTAGAATTCATAGTTATCTAAGACTTTGAATAAATCAGTTAATGCCTATCTGCACACTCTAAAACTTGAGTAATTTCTTGACACTTGAAAAAGCAAAAAAAAAGGTAATTATTAAGCTTTATCAAAACAAAAAAAACTCGTTAAAATATCATTTCGCATGACTATGAGTGACATAGTCATATATGTTAGTCCTTGTATTGCACAATTAATTATTAAATACTCTTATTAATCAACCGACATACATGGATATCGATAAAAAAAAACAGTGATAACATGGACATATACAATGAATGTTATGGAACAAAGAAAAACGTTAATATTTATTCATATCATAAGAATGAGATTTTTATTACAATATATTCTTTTAAAAGACCTAGTTTTTACTCAAGGATTGAGTAATTTTAAGTAGTGACTCCCTTGAAAACTGTCTTTTTGGCATAACACTTCCAAAACCACTGTCACAAGAGTTTTTCTTCTCATTTTCATTTTCTTTTTCTTCTTCATCTTCAGTACAATCATCGAAATCTGAATCTAGCATATTTCCAAATGAACTTGAAATTTCTTGTGTATTACTATCATCATCATCATGTTTAACTGTTACTTCATAATTCATATAATGATCTTGACGTTGACAGAATGTTTTTATTAAACGAGTTGATTTATCATCATCTCCATATAGTGATGAATATACTTGATAGGAAGGTTTTAACATTGAACGATTGAATGAACCATGAATTGAATCAATTGTTAAAAGTGCACGGTCAATTTCAGCTTGATCAATTTGTAATATTCGTTTTTGTTGCATGACATTCTTCCATGTTGTTTTAGGCGTTACTGATAATGATTTATGTGTCATTTGTTGTTGTTCTCGTTGTTGAAGATAAGCTTCTGTTCGATATGTAAAATTATCTGTTGATAATTTACGAGTGTTTGATTTGTCAATAGAACCATTAATTGTTTGTGATTTGTTCAATGTAATTGTTAATTTTCGTTCATTATATGAATTTCGGCGATGATGATGATGATGAACATCTGATATTATTGAAATAAATTCCATATATATATGTATATATATGAAGAAGAAGAAATAACGAATTAATTGTTATGAGAAGAGCTCATATAGAAGATTTTTTTTTCTAATGTTACATGTACATCAGCTATTTGTATCTATCTTTTCTTTTACCTTTAAATAACGATTGCGAGTGATCGTTACACATGAGAACACTCGCAAACTATTCTTCCTAATGATTGAAGAAGACAAGAAGTAAAAAAAAATACAAGGACAATGATACAAATGAGAAGAAATACTTCAAATCAACAACACTATTATTAAAAAGTTAATTATTCTATCGAGTTGTATTGACCAAATCAACTTCCATTGTTTAAAGAAAGTATCTATTGAAACTTTTTCTAAATGATTAACTCTAACAAAAATAATTGCAAAATATTATTCAAAAAGAATATCGTTTTTTTTCTGATTATAAATGATACTTATTCAGATTTTTATTTGAAAAATAAAAAAAAAATGTCATTATAGGGCGTTAGATGTGTATGTGTGTGTTTATCAATAAATAAAACAGCAATTCAGTTCAAGCTGATATAAATTATCAATGTTCTCTTTTAATCATTAGTTGTTATCATTATTCGGCAGTACGACGATCATTAGACATATCTAAACTATCAACTGATATTTTATCTTTATCTATTGATTTGCCACCAGGAAGTGTTAAGTTATCAATATTTTGTAGATCAGCTGGATCACCATCTTCAGTTTGATTTTCACTTGGTGCTGCGTCAGATTTTGTTTCTGTTGTATCTGGTGATAGAGTAATTTCGGGATTTTCAGCTTCAACTGTTGGTGTTGTTGGTAATGTGAGTGTTGCTGGTTGTGCTTCACTAGCTAATGATTCATCCTGATTTTCAGTTATCGTAGCAGATTCTGATGGAGGTATTGTTTCTGGTGTTTCTGATTTTTCTTCTGTGCTTGAAGGTACGTCTGTACCAGTTTTTGATAATGTTTCATCTTGATCTTCTGATGATTTATCATGTTTTTCCGATGGTTCTTCTGGTTTAGCAGCTGGTTCGTCTTGTTTCTCAGCTGGTTTATCAGATTCTTTGGGCACTTCATCTTGTTTTTCAGGTGCTTCATCTGGTTTTTCAGATGTCTCATTAGGTTTTTCTAACGGTTGTTCGTCTTTTTTCTCCGCTGGTTCGTCTGGTTTTTCAGTTGATTCATCTGTTTTTTCAGTTGGTTCATCTGTTTTTTCGGACGGTTCATCTGTTTTAGCAGAAGGTTCATCTGTTTTCGCAGAAGATTCATCTGTTTTTTCAGATGGTTCATCTGTTTTTTCGGAAGGCTCATCGATTTTTTCAGAAGGTGCGTCTATTTTCTCAGATGGCTCATCTGTTTTCTCAGATGGTTCATCTGTTGAAATAGATGGCTCATCTGTTTTTTCCGTTGGTTCATCTGTTTTTTCAGTTCCCATCTCTGTTGCTAGAGATAGCTGATCTGTTGCTTCAGGTGATGCATCTGATTTTTCTGCTGGTTCAGCTTGTTTTTGGAGTATTTCTTCTTGTTCTTTAGGCGGTTCATCTTGTTTCGCGGATGGTACAGGTGGTTTTCCAGACGGTTCACTTTGTTTTCTAGGTAGATCTACAGATTTTTTAGCTGGTCTATCTGATGTTTTAACTGGATCACGAGTTATTTCAAGTGGAATTGACTGTGTTGATGAATAAAGACAATCGGCTATAAATGTTATATATAGACGACTAACTCCAACACGTGTTGGATGAAGTCTAACACGTAAAGTAGTTGATTCTTTGGGTGCAAACGATCGACTAGAAAAGAAAAATAGTTTTAATAAGACTCAAGATAACATATCTTTTAGAAATAAATATTATCAAATAATGATAATTGATATTGTCACTTTCTGTCAAAATAATTATTATTCAAAACCTTTCGCAAATTAATTCTGATTTATTCGTAGAAATTCTAAATGGTAACAAAATTGAAAAATTAAAACTAATAACTTACTTTACACGCATTATTTGATTAAGACCTAGCCCATCAATATATACACGTCCATTATTTAACGGACGTGAAAGTGTATTAGCAATTTGAATTTTCATTAAGACTGGTTTGCCAATTTCAATTACATCTTCATTAAGAAACTAATTAAAAAAAATTAAAAAGTAATTAAATAAAATTTAAGGGCATATAACTGACTGGTTTAGCAACATCATCTTTGATAAAGATAATACTACTATCACGTGTATATGTTTGATTCGTTTCTGGAATTTGTGCATTGACGAAGTATTTTAGAACAATATTTTCTTGTGGACCATATTTCATATATTGTGGTGGACTAATTTTAAACTGAATAGTTTCATCTGTGAAAGAAAAATGTATGAAATAAATAGTTCAGTTTGAAAAAAGATGGGTTTTTACCTTTGCCACCATCAAGATTTAATGTTTGAACTGGATAATCAGTATAAGAAGCTGATTTTGGACCAGTACCACTTGCAATACATATGGTAAAAGCTGTTTTTATTGTACGTTTTTCCTCTGATTTATTATGTACATTGACTGCTAATGTAATAGTATCTCCAAACTTGAAAAAAGAGAATGAATTTTTATTTAAAGAATAAATCTTCTTCTTCGTAAAGAAATCTTACCCTATTCTCTTCTGATACTAATAATTCAAAATTAACATCATTTTTCGATTGTGTATCCGATTTTTCTGCTTCATCGGACGATTCGGCTGCATTTTTATAACGTTCAGTAATATCTTCTGGTTCAGTTTCATTAGTTAATGATCGTGTGATTATTTTAGTACCAATTTTATTTCTTTCGACATCTAATTAAACAAAAGAAGAAAAAGATATATATGTTTTATAGTATAAATTTTAAATAAACAAAAAACTAACCTAACATTTCCATATATCCATCTGGATATACAATCCAATGAGATTTATTTCCATTAATCGATGAATGAATATATGGTGAATCCCATCGGAAACCTAAATCACCTTTCTTTAAACATGATACTGGACATGGACCAGTTCGTCGTATTCCTTCAAAATAATTTATATAATAGAAAATTAAAATAAAACAATATATATATATACCATCACACATTGGTACTGGAGTTGAATCAATGATCTGCCAATCTTGTTCATTATTAGGTAAATCAACACGACGCATCCAACATTCATTCCATACTTGTGAAGTACTAAAATAGAATTTATTTTATTATATGATCTAAGATAAAATATTTTTTTCCAAACCATATTAAATCTGAATTGAGTTTTTGTAACGGTCGTTGTTTTGTATCCCAATGAACATCATTATTATCTGTTCCATCAGCTCGACAAGCAGCATTATAAACAGTAACAATCCGACAAGGAATCCCTAAAGCTCGACTTAGAGTACAAAGAATAGCTGCATGTTGCCAATTCGTTCCACTTCCACCGTGTACTGATCGACAATTTGATGCAAGATAATGTTTTAATATAGCTGTACTACTTGTTAATCCATTTTTTTCCGGTGTAACAGGTCGAACATTATATGATGAAGAAAATATTCCATTATTTGCACCTGGATTTGAACAAATTTTTGATGAAAGTATACGAAGAATAATCGATGGATCAACACGATTTTGTGGTGGTAATTGTGCATTATCAAGAAGGGTAAGTGCAGCATGCAATGCCGATTTTTCAAATTGCCCAAAATACCATGGAATTGGTCTCGGTTTGTCAGATGAACCGAGAAATATTTGTCCATGTTCATTCATGACATATTCAGCAATTTGTTCTGGTGATTGTAATGCACAAGCATCCTCTTTTTTCCATGGATTAAAAAGAAAATAAATATCAACTTCAAATAGAAATAATGTTAGATCTTGTTTATCCATTGGAAATTCTTCTTCTTTTTTAGCTGAACGAACTTCAAGTAATAACTATAAAGAATGAAAAAAACAAATATAATAGAAATAGGTTTTGTTTTGTAATCATATACTTACAGTATATTTGCCAATAATTGCATCTGAAGGAGAATCAACTTGAAGAGAAATACGATTATTCTTCTTCTTTTCATCTTCACCTTCAGTAGGAATCTTTCTAGCTGCCCAACCATTTGCATTAGGTGTTCCATCTACTAAAAGTCTTATCTGTGTCTTTTTTGATATCATTGATCGAGCACCTATTTTACATATGGATTTTTATTTTTAAATTTTATTTCTTTAATTAATATACCTATTGCTAATCGAACATATATATGATACTGATCAGCTTCGAAATCTCTATTAAATGTCACCGTAAATGAAAATGGTTGTCCTCGTCGTAATACAAGTCCGGGAATATCATAATGACTTGTTGAATGTTCATCCATATTCTTCTTCGTATGTATGTCAACATCAATAGGAATTAATCGAGATGCTAGAATTATAATAACAAAAAGAAAAACACATTATTTTCTCCTATACATATTTGTTTTTCTTTTTCTCTATTCAATTCATAAATAACAATCATTGAAATTTGAATTCATGAAAGTAAGAATAATATATGGTTAGTACTTGAAGTAAAATTTAACATGCAATGCTATTACATCACATTATATGTATATATATATATATATACAATTTCAAAAAAAACAGAATATGAATTTTTAAAAAAGAGAATTCATTTTATTATTTAAATTTTGTGAAATAATAATTAGTGATTCTCGTGTATAACGTCGTCTTGGCATGACACTACCATAACCACTATCATAAGATTTTTTCTTTTCGTCATCATCATCATCAATTTCACTCGAATCTATATCAGAATCTGTATCTTGACAAAATCCAAATGAACTCGATGTTTCATGTGTATTATTATTATCTTCATCTTTCATATAATGATCTTGACTTTGACAGAATGTTTTCATTAAATGACTTGATTTATCATCATCGCCATATAGTGATGGATATACTTGATTATAAGGTATTAATAATGAACGATTGAA